TTTTCTAAGGAGAATTGAGAATTGCAACATTATCTTGTTTCTGCTAAAGATAAGATGATTTGCTTGCTTTGTGATACTGCAATATCAACATTAGAGAAATTCAGGCTGGGCACAGTGGCTCATGCCTGTAATACTAGCACTCTGGGAGGCAGAGGTGGGTAGATTGCCTAAGCTCACAGTTGAAGACCAGCCTGAGCCAGAGTGAGACCTCATCTCTTAAAAAAACAAAAAAATAGCTGGGCTTTGTGGAGGGCACCTGTAGTCCCAGCTACTCTGGAGGCTGAAGCAAGAGAATTGCTTGAGCCCAAGAGTTTGAGGTTGCTGTGAGCTGTGATGCCATGAGACTCTACCAAGGGTGATAAAGTGAGAAAAAAAAAATTAATGCTCATCAGCATTATAGCACTCATACAAACCACAAATGTTTTAAATTAGAGGGAAAGTTGCAGAAGATTCTATTGCATAAATTAAAAGATGAACAGCAAAGACAAAGATAATTCTTTTTTTTTCTTTTTGCAGTTTTTGGCCAGGGCTGGGTTTGAACCCACCACCTCTGGCATATGGGGCCAGTGCCCTACTCCTTTGAGCCACAGGCACCGCCCAAAGATAATTCTTTTAAGCAGCAGTTAAGACCTGGAAATACTGCCACTGGCACAACTTATAGAGTAACCTACATATTCGAGGGGGGGGGAAGGGAAGTCATTCAATGATGTAGAAATTGTGAAAAAAAGCATCATTGAAGTTGTAGGATGCTTAGACCTTGATGACATTTCAAAGTACAAACACTGCCTTTTTCAACCATTAACTGATTGGCAGCATGAACTAGGCTTCAACTTAACAGAACAACTTCATGCACTACTTCAAAAAGAAAACATACATTATTCAATTGGTTCCGATGAATCAACTGATACTACTGACTACGCAAGCAGGTTTTATACTTCACTGGGGTTGTAAGAGAAGATTTTCTTTGCTACAAACAGTTGCTTGCTTTGGGAACTCTTGAGAACAGAACGCAGAATAGATATCTTCAACAAGTTTCAAGATACATGTAGTGAAGTTGAACTGAATTTGGTAAATTCAGTGAGTTGTGTGAACCGATGACGCACCTTCCATGACAGGAAAACACGAAAGGTTTATTGCACAAATGAAAAAGCATTAACAGGGGTGGCGCCTGTGGCTCAAAGGAGTGGGGCACCAGCCCCATATGCTGGAGGTGGTGGGTTCAAACCCAGCCC